CTCTGCACTCGTGGCGGGCCCACGGGGGCCAGCTCTTGGGTCTCGCAGCCCGGAGGGGGCCAGAGGGGGGGGACAGCTGCTGGGTCCTGCCGGCAGGGTGGGGGGGCTGTGGGGCCCCCGGGCCCCTGCCCCCCCCCCCCCAGCATGGCCACCCGCTGCACCAGGCCTGGTCCTTCTGCAAGGACAGCTCAGCCCCGAGGTCCCCGGGGCTCGGGGGCCAGACCTACAGGTAGGTCTGTGGCGTCTCCTCCCCACCAGCGCACAGATGCTCTGGAGCATCCATGGGGCATCAGGGTAACACAGCTGGGAGTTGCCCTTCCCCGGCACCCCGGGGACCCAGACACGCGCTTGAGGGGCACATGTGAGCGCGGAGAGGAGCTTGGCATGGGCGCCAGGCTGGGGCAGGGCAGCAGGCACAGCACCAAGCATGGCACCAGAGAGAGGGCAGGCGCTCGCCCTCCGGACGGATGGATGAGCTCCTTCACACTCAGGCAGGGCGGCACGTCTTGCTCATCCTCTGTAGCTCTGACGCCACGGTGACAGGCACGAGCCACATGCCTTGCCAAGGTGACGAGGGCACCTGGCTTGCAAAGCCACCAGCTTTCACCTGAAGGCTGCTGGCACCGGATGGCTGCAACAGGCTGCAGCCCCTCCAGAGCCACCCGCCACCATCCCTGCAGGGACACACCACCACCCTTCCCTGCTCCACACCCGCCTTGCCGGGCAGGAAATCACTGGCACCGCTCGGTACAAGGCATGGTGTTTTTATTCACGGTCAAAGCAGGCTCTGTCCCCACGCCGGCCTGTCCCTTGCCAAGCCCCAGGTGGGGTGGCCAGAGAGTCCAGACCACTATGCTCCGGGCTGGTGGGCATCACCAGCTGGTGCTGGGATGGGGCTGCGGGGTGCCCGGGCACCCTCAGAAGTGGAGCTGGACAAGGTAGCGGATCCGGCACTGGCTTTCCTGGTAGATGAGGTACTCGCTCTGGCTGAAGGAGGAGTTCTTGTAGGCGGGCATGGGGATGGGCTTGCCCTGGCACACCAGCACCTTCTTGCCATCCAGCAGCATCTCCTCATCCTGCGCAGGGTCTGGGCGAGAAGACACCCCCCACCATCATGTCAAGCCCGAGATCTGGCCTCTCTCCCCCACTGCCCCGTGCCCACCCCAGGCCCACAGACCCCATATCCCCTCCTGCCCCAGGCTCACCCGGCTCCGTCTGGCCGCAGGCCAGGACGCTGTCGTAGCCGGTGGGTGGCTGACGCAGCATGGGGTCATCGCAGGTGATGCGGTAGGGCTTGCCCAGGGCCACCTCCGTCAGGAACATGATGCCAACCTTCTTGGATGTGCAGCGCACTGCCGTGGGAGAAGGGGATAGGATGATGGCACCAACCCTAGTGTTCCCATCTGGTTGTGCCCAGGCCACCCCGGCATGCAGGGATTGGCTACCATGGCAGGGAAGGGTCTTGGCATTCCCAGCAGCTGCCTGGCAGGGGGTATGCAAAGGCAGCTGGGCTCCCACAAACTCTGTGGGCCCAGGACCCTCACCGTAGCCGGCTGACTTGCTGTTCTCGGAGGCGAAGTAGATGCCCTTGCCCACGCGCCCGCCTGAGTGGGGCATGATGCGCAGCCCG